AAAAATCTATTAATTTAAAAAAAAAAAATTTTTTTTTATTTTTTATTTTGCTGCAGGCTTCCGCGGGCCGCACAGAACCCCGTAGAGGGCCGCATGCGGCCGCGGGCCGCAGTTTGCACACCCCTGACCTAGGCTATTTGTGATAAAAGGCCATTTTATACGATAGTTTTAAGGAAACCTTTCCACTGTGCTATTCTATTAAAACTTTAGATTGAACAAATGCGCACATATTTCCAAGCCAATATGATCATTTCAGGGATGGTTATAGTAGTAGCAGTCCTACAGCAACATTATATAGAAACAAAGTCCCTCGTTGTATAAACTTTCAACTTCACTCACACGTACGTCTTCACATCAAACCGCAAGCAAGCTGCATATACAAGTGGAACAACTCGGCAACATATTTACACACGCGTAAAAATCACACGTTTCAATAGATTATCAATGATTTTGACCACAGAGAGGGTCAAGCCGATTCCCCACACATAACGAACGCTCTACTCCCACCTCTGGTCCTTATTATAACCCATAAGCACGCCACATATCAATTTCCTTTCATTACTTAATAGCACTAGGATATCCTTTCCTTCCTGACACTACTGGGAGCATATCAGGCAACAGCTCAGCTAATAGCCACACATCATATAAAGCACACACATATGTAGTGTCGATACATCTTAGCGATACATCGTGGCGAAGATCAGAAGATTTAGTTATAGTGTTTATGAAACGGGTTCGAATCTCGGGTGCCGACGACGCTTCGAGTTACAGATACGTTGTGAAGTCTTCTATGTTGCGAATGCTGCTCTGGCTGCCCGCACCAGCTTCTCCCGATGGCTTTGCTTGACTAGGGAATCCTTCCTGAAGCACCTTGCTACGGATGCGCTTGATTTGTCTCAGCCTTTCCAACCACTTGGACGCGTAGATGTCATGGTGGGACAATTGCTGACTCTGTAGTGTTAATGCAGGGTGCTCAGTACAAACTAGCAACACAGCATTCGCACACAATCTGTGTGAAGTATGTTGATACAATTGCAGACCCGATCGTCAGTGTCTGCGTGTTCGCTATGTCATCAGCTGCTAGCCACACACTCAGGAACATTAAACTGTAAATGTATCAATGAAATGACTATTTCAGGGGGGGGGGCTTTATAGGAGACGTGATAAGGTAACAGCATGGTACATATAGTAAGCATAGTAGGTAACATACAGTTCAGCATATATAATATAGTAAGGTAGCGTGAATGTTGTCAGCTCTACCTGTTTACGCCTTCGCTCTGCAGCAGGTGTCTGTGATGCAGAGCGACGGTTTACGTAGGTAGAGCGAGCATGCTCCCTACCCTTCCCCAGACAATTGCAGACCTGCCAACCCTTACGATTTTTTCGTATTCCTTACTAATTCCAAGATGTTTTTACGAATGTACGATCAAACTGGAAAACTTACGATTTTTTACGACTTGAAAATTAATGTGTTTTTTACATTGTGAGCCGAGAAATATCTGGCGATTGTGGGCGCAGCGTTTTTCGATCTCGCGTTCACGTTGTTTTCGCGTGATCTAGAGTTAGTACCATCATTCATTGCACGCATGACATACAAAAAAAATAACCGCGTGCTGCAAGAAAAGAAAAGCCTTACTATTTTCATGAATCACAGGTTGGCAATGGATATATACTGGTTTAAGTAACTACAATCAAATCTGTATATATATATAGTTAAATATATAACAACAGTTTTTATTTCGTTATAGAATTGTCTGAGATTGGCCACGGCGAACCGAAGATTATTTCAGATCGGCATCTTCCCATACTCGCCCGCCAGCTTGCCCTACACGCTGATCTTGCCTCTAAAGTATACCAGGTAAACTGTGCAGCAGATATGTTTCACACCTGCTAGCCACTCTACTACTACTACTCAGCGGACGCATCCGAGATAGAGTTCACAATGCCATGCCATGAATATTTGTCTTTTCTCTAGGGCCAGTTCAGGTTTGTAAGCATCATTATCAAGCCCCTTGATCATGAGAGCAACATGGTGTCTGTCTGTGCAAAAGAAGGTATTATAACATACTACTTGTATAGAATATTACTGGTATCATGAATATATATAGATATATATATTTATTTATTATGTATATATATATATATAGTTAAACTTGTACAGTTGTATAGATATATTCGTGTTGGTATCCATAGACATTAGTCACATTCTTAGATAAATTATTACACTGCACGTGCATACCAGCATATGAAGTATTTTCTACTGAATACTGTCAAACCTGTACTAACAGTGCTAATAATCGCCTTTATAGAAGACGATTTCCATAAACGATACTCGGTATTTCACTCAAGTGATTCTCTTATATACAGGTTTTAATGTACCATATATACTCGCGTAATAACTGCAAATTTGGCCTCAGATTTCAACCCTGTATTTGCTCTGCGGTTTATAAGTGCGCCATACCGTGAGGGGAAATATACTAGGCGCAATACTTGGTTACCCGGTTCAAATTGAGGTGCGGCTTATAGGCGCCCGCGGGTATTACGCGATCATATACGGTAGATACTAAAATCAGTTTAACATGTTTGTTCACTCACTATCATCTCACCTCAACAGAAAAAAAATGCATGCTGTGTGGACACCATGATTAAAATACAACTACAACTAAAGAACGAGATATTATAGGAAATCAGGGCTTATATTAGTAAGAGGCATCAGAATTGTTGATATCAATCAATCTGCATAACTTATATGACTCCACTAATATGGAACCATTCTCTCTGCTTTCACAGTGTGAAACAGCAAGACCTGCCAATTATTTTAAGGATAAGGGAAAAACAAAGGGTTGCATTGGTTACAGCTGATAATCAATAACTAAAGACTTCCCAAATCACTCCTAACACACTCTCTCAGCGTATTAAGACACTCAGCGTACCCGTATAGTTCCAGTCTTGTATGGCTCATTGCTGTCATTGTAGACTATAGAGACAAAGTTGTTGCCTATGTGGAGCTTCTTGCCATTGCACGACACATCTGACGCTTTATTCGGCATCAGTGTCGCCACATGGAAGATAGCTGCAGTGATAAAACCATTAAACATGCATGGTCATCAGTAGCAAGCAGTAGGAATTGGGTCGGTTTATAGAGCCGATTACATAAGAGCTTGTCAACTTCCATCTTTGTTCTTATATCTAATACCCTGCATGACATCAAATACCCTACATTATGTCAAATACCTTATGCGATGTCAAATATTCTACATGATGCCAATACCCTACATGATGTCAAATACCTTACATGATGTCAAATAGCTTACATGATGTCAAATACCCTACATGATGTCAATACCCTGCATGACATCAAATACCCTACATTATGTCAAATACCTTATGCGATGTCAAATACCTTCAATGATGTCAGATACCCTACATGATGTCAAATACCTTACATGATGTCAAATAGCTTACATTATGTCAAATACCCTACATGTCAATACCCTGCATGACATCAAATACCCTACATTATGTCAAATACCTTATGTGATGTCAAATACCTTCAATGATGTCAGATACCCTACATGATGTCAAATACCTTACATGATGTCAAATACCTTACATGTTGTCAAATATTCTACATGTCAAATACCTTCAATGATGTCAGATACCCTACATGATGTCACATGTACCCCGCATGCCATCACACACCCGGCAGGACGTCACGCGCGTACCTTGCGTGATGTCGTCCCGCCAGCTGTAGGCAAACTCGCCGTCGCTTCCATCCGTCTCGAGACCGCCGAGGAATGTGTGATCGGGGTTCGTACGTCTCAGATGCGTCAGCTCACCGAGTCCCTCGAGGAATTTGGCGTAACGAGACGAGCCGTACTCGTTAGACAAGATGGCCGCCTCATCGTTTACCTTCAACGACATACAGAGTCAACAACAAACGTTAGTAATATTTATATATACTTATATAATATAACATAACTTATAACTTATATATATATATATATATATAATATAATTATTATATTATTATAAATAATCATGTATTTAATCGATCTATTGTTCTTACATATCTTATCACTGCTGGTTATTTTTTACAGAGCATGTTTATTAGACACGCCTGATAACGTGCGTGTGGTTAACGTCAGAATTGCTTATCACAGATCGCGGATCGAAACCACACGTAAAATAAAATTATGCTGATTTTCATCATCCACTCTGCTTAAGTGCTAAGCATTTTGTTGGTTCGGGAATGTTCCTGAGATTTCAGTCATGTGCGTTTAACTGTAGCGATGTGTCATTTCTACGCACCTGACCTGCTCCCACGTACAGCACTCCGATCTTGTGCGTCTCGTAGGGCGGTATTCGATCAAGGTTCTTCACTGCGCGATTATTCACGTCGCCGTGAGGCAGCAATAGAGGGCGCTCATTGTTGTCCATAAAATACGCGCTGTGGTACAGCTGCAGGAAGACAAATCTGCAAGGGAAACATGGCGGTCACGAACGAATCACGGATTTTATTTTAATTTTACGATTTTTTTCATTTTTTAATTAAATTTTACGATTTAATTAATTAATCGACGGTGCCGGACACAAATTCTTACAAGTGCGCACGGCAGTCACCGATAATAGCAGCCGATGAATGCGACAGGTATGCTCACGCTGGGTTAATTCCGCTTGTTTGAGTCGGTTGCACTAGTGGTGCCATTGGTGGCTTCTCCATGCGTCTTGCCATCTGGTAGGCCCTGCGACCTCCCATCACGGACACGGTGTGGCCACGCTGGCGCATCCTCAAGCTTGCATCACTCTCATTAGCATGGGCAGCCTGCACGACGATCAAACTTATACATTCTAAATTATTACTAAATTATTCTAAAATACTATATATTATCAGGAGTGGATAATAGGGGGGTCCCTATTATGTACTCCTGATATTATCAGGAGTGGATAATATAGACTATTCTCTATCATCTTCTTACTTACTTTTTTATCTTCCTTTTCTTACTTCTCTATTATCCACTCCTGATATTATTACATTAAATGCTACTAAATTATTACTAATTATATTCTAAATAATAATTACCATTAGTTATATTAATGTCAATACCATAGAGGACATATGTGCTTTTCATATGGCCACAGAGAAACTCTAGATGAAGACTGCAATATGAATTGAAGACCTGTTTAAAACTGTTAATGCTTGGTTATAAACTAAGCAAATGAATAACAAGGATGACAAGGATGTTTCAATTAGCATTTTCTTCAGCCTAGAGAAATATGCTAATGGCTGTCTTATTTAGTTATTTAGTCTTATTTGGTTACAAACGGTGACTTTAAATACAGCAAAAATGAATAGTAAATGGTCCAATGATATATGGGCAAATTCACTAATGAGTAAAATACAAAAATAAAACGAAGACAAGGTTTCCCCATTATACTACTGTAGGTGCCATACTTGAAATGTCACAAAAATGCTAGATTGCTTTACAGTGGGGCAGGTATGTCTAAACATTAAGAAGAATTGTCAGTTTTGTGGTAAAGGAACCAAAATTGGCTTGTATAATGTTAAGGGTATACTAAATGATTTCAGATAGTGCCAAGCTTAAATTGACTATGTCACGAATTTTCTATGGTGATATTTGTAAACATTTTGTTGCCATTTTTTACATTAAAAGTAAGTACTAACGAGACTAAATGTATCGTCAAATTCTTACCTGATAAGATTGTTTCTCAACTAGTTAAAAATCCAAAAAACCTGAACGATTTGATATTATTATCTTGACATTAATTGCTTGCTATGGGCTATGTATGAGTCACGAGTGTATGTTTACATTGAACAATATAGGAATATAGGAAGTATAATGCAACCATAACAAGAGCCGCAGAGCATCTGGGCTCATCTGAGGTCTGTTGCTACGGTTATAAACGTCAAATTTCAGTCAGCGTAGTGACACATTTGTTAGGCGCAGATATGCAGATATGCAGTTGCGTACACATCATTTCAGCAAACATTTTTTTTATTGCAGAGAGAGAGAGAGAGAGCGGGCGAGAGGAGAGACAGGGAGAGAGTCAGTCAGACTAAATTGTTTATAAACAAATAACACCCACGCGGCGCGCTACTGTATCAGTTACGCCATCGATTGAAATGTACATTCCGATTTCGCCGCGCGGCGTCCAAACTTTCGACGAAGATGGCGGGCAGAGGTAAGACAGACGCACGTATAACGTACAGATTTCTTCAGTGTCGGGGAGGATCAACACATTTCGACTGACAGTCAACCATCGGGCTCTGCAGCGTCCACAAGCCAGCATGCTCCACCATAACCCGACTTTGCACACTACTGTAACGTCGACGGAGAGCGCCATGCCAAGGACAGTACAAAACTGGCAAATTTTCATTGGTAGGTTTGA